CGAAGCGCCCGAACGACTCACACCACGAGGAGCCCGAACCACTCACACCAGGACGAGGGCCCCGAACGACTCACACCACGAGGAGCCCGAACGACTCACGCCAGGAAGAGGGGCCCGAACGACTCACACCAGGACGAGGGGCCCGAACAACTCACGCCACGAGAAGCCCGAACGACTCAGACCAGGACGAAGAGCCCGAACGACTCAAACCACGAAGACCCCGAACGACTCACACCAGGAAGAAGGGCCCGACAACTCACACCAGGACGAGAGGCCCGAACGACTCAAACCACGAGGAGCCCGAACGGCTCGCACCAGGACCAGGGGCCCGAACGACTCACACCACGAGGAGCCCGAACGACTCACGCCAGGAAGAGGGGCCCGAAGGACTCGCACAAGGACGATGGGGCCGAACGACTCACCCCACGAGGGGCCCCAACGACTCCCACCAGTCGTCGTCGTCGTCGTCGTCGTCGTGGTCGTCGTCGTCGTCGTCGCCGCCGCCTTCGTCGTCGTCGTCGTCGACGTCGTCGTCGTCGTCGTCGTCGCGGTTGTGGTCGTCGTCGTCGTCGCGGTCGATATCGTCGTCGTCGTCGGGTGCGTCGTCGTTGTTAGGATCATCGCTGTGGTCGTCGTCTCCGCTAAATCCCTCTTGCCTCCCACCGCTTTCTCTCCCTCCTCCTCCGCCTCGTCCTTCCCCCGCTCCCACCACAAGAAGGATGTACAAGGAGGCGGGAGGAAGGAGGAACAGGGGAGATATGCGGGGGCAGGCGGAAACACGCCTGAAAAAAACACGACTGCCCGCATGCTTCGCAAGACTTGTTGTTTTGAGATGGGCTGGTGGGGATACGCGAAGCGTGAAGAAATTAATTTTCCCATTGGGGCCTTAGGTGGAGCTCCCTATGGGGCCACGAAACGTGTGAGGGGTGTGCCGAAATGCGGCGGGGCCGCCATGATAACTTTCCCACTGGGGCCTTAGATGGAGCTCCTTGTGGGGCCACGAAACGTGTGAGGGCTGTGCCGACATGGGGCGGGGCCAGCATGCGAACTTTCCCATAGGGGCCTTAGGTGGAACTCCCTATGGGGCCACGAAACGTGTGAGGGGTGTGCCGACATGTGGTGGGGCCGCCATGCGAACTTTGCCAGTGGGGCCTCAGGTGGAGCTCACTATGGGGCCACGAAACGTGTGAGGGGCGTGCCGAATTGGTGGGCACGCGGAGAACAGAGGCACGACGCTGACGATGGTGATGCTGATGACACCGATGATGGCGATGGTGCCCACGATGATGGTGATGGTGGTGGTGGTGATGATGATGATGATGATGACGATGACGATGACGATGATGATGACGACGATGATTGTGAGAGGGGGAGGGAGTGGGCAGCGGGAGGAGGAGGAGGGAGACGCGGGGCGCTGTCTCTTCACAACGAGAACCCAACACCACAGGATGGTTGGGAAAAATAATATTGAGCCCTAAATGTCGGAAGCGACGCGCCGTTCAGTTGAGCGGATACATGTACCCCCCCTCCTCGTGTTTCGTCCCTCCTCCTTCCCCTCTCCGTCCTGGGATGACCCCTTCTGCCCCGTAGAATCATGGCTTTGGTCAGCAGATCCACAGTTCCGTGGATAGCATGTTGCTTCACGTGCGGCGCCCCGCGGATCCAATTTCCCTTGGGTCCGGGATGTTTATTATCAGTATATTTTCATTCCCAGAAAAAATAGGTCCATTGGTTTTTCACGGGGAATTAGATCCGCGCTAGACAAATAGGATCCACGACATTGTCGCACACCCGAGAAGAGATCCAAGTGGACCCATCGGTGTTCTCATATTTTAATGCCAAGAAGAAAAATCTGTCTGGGGATGTAGGTGGGAGGCAAGTCGGAAGTGGGAGGCAGGAGATGAGAGAAGTAGGAGAGGAGATTGCAGGGAGGAGGAGGGAGGCGGGAGGAGAAGCAGTGGATACCCCTATGTAAGATTCCAAATAAGAACCAAACGGAGGGTTGGCAGCTGCCGCACGTGATCAAAGTAGTTGGTCAAAAGCGTCATGGACGATGGCAGCCCAGTCACCGTCGTTTGTTGCGCAAGCTACATGGGATGCCGCGCGTCGCACGAGTCACAGGAAATCAATCGAATGACGAGGATTGGGGCCTCAGGCTCGAAGAGGAAGGCGGCGGGAACGAGGGGGGGAGGATGACGGGAGGGGTGCCGAAAAGTCAACGCAGGAGCAGCAGGAAGAGGACGGAGGACGAGGATTACAACGAGGGAGCAGGGATGACAGAGTAGGATGGTGATTTCCCAAGTGGCCCGCGCACAGGCAGCGATGCCGACGCCATGCCGCCGTGGTGTTTCAAGTGGCCAGTTGTTCATCATTAGTGCCGGAAACGAGCGAGACCTCGAATGTGGTGATAGTTTCGCAGTTCGCAGCCACCTTGGAATGGCAATGCCTAAGATGAACCCCCCAGTAGGGCGTCGCAGTGTTGGGGAGTTTCTGAAAGTGGCGACAGTTTGGAAGTTCGCGGCCCCGCCCCAAGGGATGGCGAGATCTAATGTGGGTCCCCGTTTGACAGGTCGAATCTGAATCCTCGTATGGCGAGATTGCGTTGATCCCCCCCCCAGCAGCTTTCGAAAGTGGCGACCGTTTTGCAGTTTGCAGCCGCCCAGGGATGGCGAGGTATGATCTGACCGTGTGGCGTCACTGCGCTGGGACCCCCCGCCAGCGCTCGAAACTTGCGACAGCTTCACAGTCTGCAGCGTCCAGGGGTGGCGAGGTCTAGCCTGGACCCAAGTGTGGCGTCACCGCGCTGCCCCCACACACCTCACACGCCCCACCCACCCACCCACACCCAGCCGCACACGAAAGTGGCGACAGCTTGGCAGTTCGCAGCCACCCAGGCTGGCAACGTCTGATCTGAATCCCCGTATGGCGCCACTGCGTTGCCCCCTCTCCCAGTAGCTTTCGAACGTTGCGATTGTTTCGCAGTTCGCAGCCACCCAGGGATGGCGAGATTTGATCTGACCGTGTGGCGTCACTGCGCTGGAACCCCCCGCCAGCCCTCGAAAGTTGCGACCGTTTTACTGTCTGCAGCATCCTTGGATGGCGAGGTCTAACCTGGACCCAAGTGTGGCGTCACCGCGCTGCCCCCCCCCCCAACCCCCACACGCCCCATCTACCCACCCACACCCAGCCGCACACGAAAGTGGCGACAGCTTGGCAGTTCGCAGCCACCCAGGGATGGCAATGTCTGATCTGAATCCCCGTATGGCGCCACTGCGTTTCCCCCTCCCCCAGTAGCTCTCGAACGTTGCGATTGTTTCACAGTTCGCAGCCACCCAGGGATGGCGATGTCTGATCTGAATCCCAGTATGGCGCCACTGCGTTGCCCCCTCGCCCAGTTGCTTTCGAAAGTTGTGATTGTGTCGCAGTTCGCAGCCACCCAGGGATGGCGAGGTCTGCTCTGAATTCCCCGTAGGGCGTACAGTGCTAGGGAGCCTTCGAGAGTTGCGACGGTGTCGCAGCTTGCAGCCCTCAGGGATGGCGAGGTCGAATCGGGCGTCCCGTTTGGCAGGCCTCGCATGATTATTGGTATGGCGTCATTGCGTCGCCCACCCCCTCCAGCGCAGTGTTCGAAAATTGCGATTGGCTCTTGGTTCGCACCCCCCCCCCCTCCCCAGGGATGACGAAGCGTAATCTGGACCCCGTATGGCTGTGGTCCTGCCAGCAGCCCGCGAACGTGCACACTCTCACACACTCGCTCATTGTCCTCACCATCACCATGGCCAACATCATCGTCGGCGTCATCATCATCATCTGCTTCACCACCAATATCACCACGCTCACCCACTCATCGGCACACACACATACACACACACACACACACACACACACACACACACACACACACACACACACACACGCTTGGGCGGCCGCCGCCCCGCGCGCGGCGACGAGGCGGAGCAAGTCGAGCACGGATGTTGAAACCTAAACCGAAGTGTACACACACACACACACACACCACTCGCACACCCGCAGCACAAAAAAGATTGGAATCACGATTTATACAGATTTAAATCGCGATTTTCAACTTCTGCCTTCGTCTTCCAAAGTACAAAGAATGAAATCGTGATTTCCATCTTTATACACAGACTACATCATTGTAAGTTTAAAAGATTCTTTTCGCACTTCCCAACATGCACACACATACGCATACGCAGACTCACACCCAGACCTACCCCGATTCTGTGACTCGTACTCAGACCCACTCATACCCGCTCCTCAGACTCAGGCTCACGGGCGATCACCGACATGGTAGCACGCGTGCAATTGGGGCACCACGAGGGGGAGCCGCCAGGGGTGGGATCATGTCCCCGTTCGCGCCCAGATGCCGGGGATGTCTCGGCGCTTGGTGGTTCGGGCCCCTCCTCCTCTGAGAGAGCCCCAGGATCACCGCGGCGTGGCAGGCGTGGCGCGCGGGCACCCCGAAAGGGGAGCCGCCGGGGGTGGTTTCAGTTCCCCCGCCGCGCCCAGATCGTGGGGATGTCTCGGGCTTGGCATCGCTCGGACGTGTGCCTTTTTTCCTCGGCGAGGACCATCGAGAAACATCCTTGATCATTTGGCGCAAAAACCACGCACGAAACCGAAAAAAACACAGGGAATGGACGTCCGAGCGATGGCGAGCGGGCGGCTTGCACGCCTGGTGGCTCCGGCCCCTCCTCTCCTGGGAGACCCAGGATCACCGCGACGCAGCAGGCGTGGAACTTGAGCACCCCAATGTGACAGGCATAGCACTCCCTGACCATAGCCATTTGGCACGTGGGGCTTCCGCCCTCGTCGCGCGTACATCGTGAAACGTTACATCCACACGCATTCTTTTCTGCGTAGCACTTCCAGCCGACGCAGTTCGGATGGTGGCAGTTTGGACGGCACCATATGTTTCTGTCCTTCTGCTGCTGGTCACGCCCTCGACCCGCGCCCTCGTTCTCGAACACAACGCCTCGAAGGGTTTGGGCGGGCTCCAAGACGTCGCCAACAAGTTCCAGTACCCGGTTGCAACGTACACTACCGGTAATTGTGTGGCAGTGTCTGACCTGGGCACGTACGACGATGTTACTGTGGCCTTCACTTTGACGATGACCGGCGACGCATCCAACGTTGGTATTGCTTCAGCGTATCACACGGATTCTTGGACCCCTGGGGACCTCCACATTGGGATTGACACGCCGGACGAAAACGGCCAGTCTTTGTTTTTTAATGTCAAGGGCAACACTTACTATTCAAGTGATACTGGTGATCGTTTCAACAATTATGACATTCCCCTGAACACGGCTGTGGACATACGCTTGGTGTACTCCAAGAGCGGAGGCACAGTGGAATTGTATGTGAACGGTGTCTTGACAGAGACCTTGGCGCACAACGGCGCCTATTCGATCAACTTCACGGCCGCGAAAATCGGATGCTGGAAAACTGAGAGGGTCTTGCGGGGAACGATTGAGGGTTTTGAGGTGTCTGCGACGACGCCCGCCCCGACGCCAGCGCTCACGCCCGAGCCGACTCCATCGCCTACGCCCGCCCCGACGCCGACGCCTACGCCCGCCCCGACGCCAACGCCCTTGACGACTTCGGCAGTCGGCGATCCTCATATGCAGAATGTACATGGCGAGCGGTTCGATCTGATGGCGCCAGGCAGCCATATTCTGATCAACATCCCTCGTGGAGAGCGCGATGACAAAATATTGCTTCGCGTGCAGGCCAATGCGCGTCGATTGGGTAGAAAGTGCATGGATATGTACTTCGACACGGTGAACGTGACCGGGTCTTGGGCAGAGGCAAGTCAAGCCGGAGGGTATCATTTCAGCGCGTCGCAGAGCGAGGTTGATTTTCCCGAGTGGGTTGTTTTTGGTAAGGTCGAGTTGAAGATCGTTCGCGGGCATACGGACGGAGGCTTGTCGTATTTGAACGTGTACGTCAAGCATTTAGGACAAGCGGGGGCTGTTGTCGGAGGTCTACTTGGCGAAGACGATCACACCGACGTGAGCACGCCAGAAGCTCAGTGCATGAACATATTGAGTCTGGAGAAGGGCGCGCGCCAATACAGCAGCGTTTCCCTGGCGGTCTCGACCGCAGAGGGAACGTTCGCTTAATTGGAGGTTTCCGTTCGCCTGGAAGACTCGGCCGAGATAACGGGAGCCGATACCCGCTGTTTGTCCATCATCCTCATTTTTATTGCCCCCCCCTGCGTGAAATCGGGCGTTTTCATATCAATTATACCTCGCACGGGATCTTAGTGACATGTATGTCTGTAGTTTGATGTCGTGGTTGGGGCCTATTATATAAAATGGTTCGGGTGGGCATGGAGGATGCATTGCGCAAAGCAAGCCAAGCCTTCTTTTTCTTTGTCATCCCTCCCTCCCTATCGTCAGTCTTCCTCTGTCCTGCTCGGCTTTTGGTTGGGCGAAATGCACGGTTACAGATTCGGCCGCTTAGATTGGGGGGGGGGGGGGGAAGATTGCCATTGAGTTGGCCCTATTCGTCGCGCTATGGAATTACCATGCGAGGGGCAGGACTTTGAATGATGTTTGCAGCTGAGTTTTGCCGTTGGAAAAAAAATCCCAAAACAAACTGCAACCACGGGCTATAACAGTTGTGGCGGAGCGTGCGCGCGAAGTGCCCCAGGCATATTCCCCCCGCCTGCGATGGCCGACATGGCACGGCCATCAACAATTCGGGCCGACGCGACACAGCAAGGCGGGGGGCAGTTGGGCGCGGCGGGCCGGGCACAGAAAGATGTCGGCAACGGGGAAGCATGCTTCGACAAGAGTAAGACTCCCTCAGCCTCAGATGCGCTGATTGTGCCGTCCTCCTAAACCTGAAAGGGCTCCAGGGCGCCACCTCGGGTCCCTCTTTGCCGTCTGGAAGCTTTGGCGCTCGGGGCCGTCTTGGGGCTTCTGAAGCGACTTGAGGCAATCTTGGGTCGTAAAAGCCGGGGACGGAACAGACAGCATCTGTTGACGACCTTCGCTGTCTGAAGCCTTCTCTTGGGGCCTGCTAGTGCCTGCTGGGGTCATTCGTGCGTTTTGGGGGGGTCTCTTGGGGCATCTGGGGTCCTCTTCGACCGCTCGGGCTCGCTTCGTAGAAGGTCCAGCCCACCCGCAGCTGAACGATTTCGGGCTCCAGGAGTTTGATTGAGGGAAACAGCCTCACACGCTTGGCAATCCCAGAAGTGTGGGGCGGACTGTATACACACATGTATATCTATATAAGTACATATAGATGTGTTTATGTACGTATGTATAAATACACATGTGCTTAGACATTGGTGCCTGTATACGTGTATGTATGCATGCATGCATGCATGCATGTATGTATGCATGTATGCATGTATGCATGTATGCATGTGCGCACTCTGGGCGCACTCTGGCGGCTGGTCGGAGCAATCTTGGTTGCCTCTTGGGCCTTCCTTGGCCTTTCTGGAGAGCTTCCTGGGCCATCACGGGACCGTTCTGGGGCTTCTTAGCTCGTCTTGGAGGGTTTTTGGTCTTGGGGCCAGCCTTCGACCCACTCGGGGACTCCTGAAGCCATCTTTGGAAGAAAGGCTTGGGAAGCAAAAGCATAGGCCAGGGAGAGGGCCAGCCACTGATATTCCCAGCGGCGGCAAACAGGACTACGGCTGGGGACAAACATCGGAGTAGGGCCAGTCCAGACAACGGCGGCCTCCCCGGCGTTCTTTCCCTTTTTGGGGCCTCCTGCAGGCTTCTCGTCGCCACGACTATTTGCCACGGAAATCGTAGCAGAATGGGCCCCAGGAAGGGTCCCGGGACCGGTTCTGATTGCCGTTGTGTCAACGGGCCTGTCTCCGACTTCGAAGGCAGGGGCAGTCGGAGACACGACAGGCCACGCAAATCCCTGGCGACGTGATGCTTGGGCGCTCGGCAGCGGGAGGGGCAATCAAGGGAGGAGGGTCGAGGATTGTTGGAGAGTGGCCCCAAGCGGGGCCTTAAATGGCCTCTCAACTGCAACCACGGGCTAAATCCGTAGCCATTTGGGCTCAAGCCATTTGGCAAGTGGGGTGTCCGCCCTCGTCGCGCGTACATCGTGAAACGTTACACCCACACGCATTCTTTTCTGCGTAGCATTTCCAGGCGACGCAGTTCGGATGGTGGCAGTTTGGAAGGCACCATCTGTTTCTGTCCTTTTGCTGCTGGTCACGCCCTCGACCCGCGCCCTCGTTCTCGAACACAACGCCTCGAAGGGTTTGGGCGGGCTCCAAGACGTCGCCAACAAGTTCCAAAACCCGGCTGCAACGTACACTACCGGTAATTGTGTGGCAGTGTCTGACCTGGGCACGTACGACGATGTTACTGTGGCCTTCACTTTGACGATGACCGGCGACGCATCCAACGTTGGTATTGCTTCAGTGTATCACACGAATTCTTGGACCCCTGGGGACCTCCACATTGGGATTGACGCGCCGGACGCAAACGGCCAGTCTTTGTATTTTGCTGTCCTTGGCAACACTTACTATTCAAGTGATGGTGATTTTCGTTTCAACAATTATGACATTCCCCTGAACACGGCTGTGGACATACGCTTGGTGTACTCCAAGAGCGGAGGCACAGTGGAATTGTATGTGAACGGTGTCTTGACAGAGACCTTGGCGCACAACGGCGCCTATTCGATCAAGTTCACGGCTGCAAAAATCGGATGCTGGAAAACTGGGAGGGTCTTGCGGGGAACGATTGAGGGTTTTGAGGTGTCTGCGACGACGCCCGCCCCGACGCCAGCGCTCACGCCCGAGCCGACTCCATCGCCTACGCCCGCCCCGACAGCGACGCCTACGCCCGCCCCGACGCCAGCGCTCACGCCCGAGCCGACTCCATCGCCTACGCCCGCCCCGACAGCGACGCCTACGCCCGCCCCGACGCCAACGCCCTTGACGACTTCGGCAGTCGGCGATCCTCATATGCAGAATGTGCATGGCGAGCGGTTCGATCTGATGGCGCCAGGCAGCCATATTCTGATCAACATCCCTCGTGGAGAGCGCGATGACAAAATATTGCTTCGCGTGCAGGCCAATGCGCGTCGATTGGGTAGAAAGTGCATGGATATGTACTTCGACACGGTGAACGTGACCGGGTCTTGGGCAGAGGCAAGTCAAGCCGGAGGGTATCATTTCAGCGCGTCGCAGAGCGAGGTTGATTTTCCCGGGTGGGTTGTTTTTGGTAAGGTCGAGTTGAAGATCGTTCGCGGGCATACGGACGGAGGTTTGCCGTATTTGAACGTGTACGTCAAGCATTTAGGACAAGCGGGGGCTGTTGTCGGAGGTCTACTTGGCGAAGACGATCACACCGACGTGAGCACGCCAGAAGCTCAGTGCATGAACGTATTGAGTCTGGAGAAGGGCGCGCGCCAATACAGCAGCGTTTCCCTGGCGGTCTCGACCGCAGAGGGAACGTTCGCTTAATTGGAGGTTTCCGTTCGCCTGGAAGATCGGCCGAGATAACGGGAGCCGTCATACCCGCATGTTTGTCCCCTTTTCCCTCATTTTATTGCCCCCCTCTGCGTGATAGATTTCTGGGCGTTTTCATATCAATTATACCTCGCGCGGGATCTTAGTTGACATGTATTGTCTTGTTTATGTTTGATTGTCGTTGTGCCGGGCCTTATTATATAAATGGTCGGGTGGGCCATTGGAGGATGCATGCGCAACGCCAAGCCAACGCCTTCTTTTTCTTTGTCCTCCCCCTCCTCCTCTTCGTCCTTCTTCCCCATGTCCTGCTGGCTTTGGTTGGGCGAAATGCACGGTTACAGATGCGGCCGCTTAGATTGCCATTGAGTTGTTCCTATTCGTCGCGCTATTGGATACCCATGCTGAGGGGCAGGACTTTGAATGATGTTTGCGTACTTTTGCCGTGGAAAAAAACAAAACAAACTGCAACCACGGGCTAAACAGTTGTTGGACGGGCGCGCGCTTCTTCAGCCCCCTGTGCATCTTCCCCCCGATAATGATGGTCCGACATGGCAGGCCATCAACAAGTCCGGGCGACGTGACACAGCAAGGCGGGGGGCAGTTGGGCGGGGCGGGCCGGGGCACAGAAGATGTTCGGCCACGGGGAGCAGTGCTTCCGACAAGAGTAAGACTCCCCTCAGCCCTCAGATGCGCTGCTTGTGCCGTCCAAAGCCTGAAGGTTGCTCCAGGCCGCCACCTCGGGGCCCTCTTTGGCCGTCTTGGGAAGCTTGGGCCGCTCGTGGGCCGTCTTGGGGCTTCTGGAGCGACTCTGAGGCCATCTTGGGTCGTAAAGCCGGGGACGGAACAGACAGCATCTGTTGACGACCTTCGCTGTCTGAAGCCTTCTCTTGGGGCCTGCTAGTGCCTGCTGGGGTCATTCGTGCGTTTTGGGGGGGTCTCTTGGGGCATCTGGGGTCCTCTTCGACCGCTTGGGCTCGCTTCGTAGAAGGTCCAGCCCACCTCCAAGATGAACCCAGACCTCCCCATCCCCGCAGCTGAACGAGTTAGGGCTCCAGGAGTTTGATTGAGGGAAACAGCCTCACACGCTTGGCAATCCCAGA